GGAAGTTTGATCTTGTAGAGTTTTATGGCCTATGGAACTAGGGTTCGATTATGATGATTTGTTAAGAGGAGTTTGTGTAAAGAGATGTTCTTGACTTGAAATCTTAGAAGGCTGAGTTTTCAAATAATTGGGCTTCATTTGGCGTGATGGAAAATGACACCGTTGGGAGGATTTCAATTCAAATTCGATTCTTGTCACATTTGGGTGGAAGTTCAGATTTTGATGAATTCAGTCAGTGCCTTGAAACATTCGAACAATTTTGTAAGAGCGTGCAGTGTGAATTCTTGAAACTTTCAAACAATATGTTTTGGGATTAACAAACTCAATCTTGGTCTGGACTATGTAGTTGGGATTAGGATCCCAATCTCCTCAAATTGGATATTTATAGAATTAGGGTTTTATTTAGCTTTCTTTATTTTTATCTTCATGTACTCATAAAGCCCAAGTTGATTTGACCTGGCATTCAGCAAATAAAATTTACATTTTCATAAAAAAACAGCTTTTGAAATAAATAAATATTCTTTCTAGTTCAATATTTAATTTTATTTCCTTTACCCTTTTTTTTCATAATTTTCATTTTCTTTTGTTAGCATTTCAAAATAAATAAATAAAGATTCTTTGAGTTGAAAATTTTTCAAAATCTCTAAACTCTTATGGCATAATTTGGAAAAAAAATTTTATCTAAAAATTTCTAAGAAACCACTTCTTTTAACATTCATGAGATTTTATCATTAAAGAATTTTCATAAATTTATATAATATTCTTAATTTCCAAATGACCAACAAAAACATAAATAAAAATCAGAATCATAAAAAAAATTAGTTCAAAGGTTATTAAATTAAGAAAACGCTTTAATCAAAAACTGAAAAATATCAATTAAATTAATTTCAAAGAAATAAAAAAAAACATTCACCTTGTTGGGTTGAAAAAACCAAAAAGAAAACCACCAAACTAATCGGTCAAGCTTACTCAAATGGGTTCACACAAGTCAAGTCAATTAGGTCTAGCCTACAAAGCTGTTCCTTAGTTGATACAAAATGGCGTCATTTTGCTTATAGCATAAAAGCTTAATTCCCTCCCTTTCTTCCCCTTTATTTGACTTCTTCTTCTTTCTCAAAGAAAAAGCTTCCCTTTACCCAGAACCTAGCCATCAAAAAGCCTCTACACTGTCATGCCAACTATCATCTATCGTTGCCAGCCGTCATTCATCGGTGACAGAATTTTACCAAAAAAACTTCTTTCGGTGCCCTCGTCCCTTTAATCGTTTCTTTAGAAATTAAACAAATTCTCATAAATCTAGAAACAAAATTGAAAACCCTAGAATTCAAGAACTCAAAAACAATTCTCTCTTCTGTCGATCCCTAAGCTTTTTCCTTTTTTCATGTTTTTGGTGTTTTTGCTTGAATATATTTATACCCAATATGTTTTATTTCTTCTCGAATTTGTTTCTTGAGTTTTGATTCAATCTATCTTAATCTCTTTTAGATTTTTAAGTTCACCTAGAATTACGATTAATGCAAACCTATCCGTACCCTTTTCATGTTTATATCCTTTTTTTATTTTCATATATTTTTTACTTTCAAAATTTAATAAATACACTAAACAAATGCCTTTTCTTCCATAAATTCAAACCTCTCTTCCTCTCACTCACATTGATCTATCATGGTTTTCTTGTGCTAGTATATATAAAATGCCTTTTCTTCCATAAATTCCCTCAACTTACTTTGCACTTCATGTAAACCACTCTCCAATGCCAAAATGCTCTATCTCCCTAACTTTTTAACATTTTTTTCATTACGCCGTCAATATCATGTGCCTTCAATTGTTAGAAATAAACTGAGAAAGAATTGAAAATAAAATACAGCAAGTAAAGATAATAAGAAGTCTGAGGCGTGGTATCACCATCTTTAAGGATAAATTTTACCCTTTTAGAGTATAAGACTCATTACAAAAGGGCTGTAGCGATTATCCTGTATGATTCAATAGACCTTTTCTTATAATTTACACAAACTAATAAGGGATAATAGGAACAGCAAAAAAGTTTTTTAAAGAAAAATAAAAACTCAGCAAGGAAGGAAAGAGAGTAGAGAAAACATGCAACAAATATAAAAGAGGATATGAAAGGCTTGGTCGGTTTTGTGACTAAGGTGGAGAAGCTGTATTCATAGGCAGAAAATGAAGTGAACATTGCACCAAATGAGATGAACGTTGCAACAAATCAGGGAGTTGAGAAAAACTTGGTCAACATGTATGCTCCGTCAAGTTGACATTGTTGCAAATCAAGAGACTTAGGAAAACTTAGTTAGCATGGTAAAGTTTGAGTCTAATTCAATCAAAGGCTGAGAAAGTTATCAAACATTAAAGCTAAGGTACAAAAATTCACTTGGGCCTAGCTCACATGTATACTCACGTGTAGGGGGAGAATTTGAATTTTCTCAAGGCCTAGCTTGATCTCGTGTGCATGCAAACCCATTCCTTTTTCTTCTTTGCAACAAGCCCATGGTGGGTTTACTTATTTAAAGCACTCACACATTTATGTACTTAACAATGTGAGATGTTTGAACCTTATAAAGTACATATTTTTTCAACAATCCCTTACATATTTCATAAGATTTTATAAGAAGTTTTTGCTAGGTCAAATTTCATTTGAGTGTAATGCATAGTGACTGGTACTTTTTAAGCTATGAACTAGCCCTACAATGAATGAAACATAAATCACAAAATATTTTTGAAGTTTATAACTTATATGAACCAAAAATTCTTTATGTGAAATATAGTTTTCATCAATCATATTACACCCCACAATTTTTGCAGTTCAATGCGGTTTTGCTCCAAAAGGCCAAGCACATGTTTGGTTGTTCATAAGTGCTCTAGAGAATTTGTCACAATTCTCATAAGAGCAGCTCTATTCCACACTTGTATAGGTTGATTCCATCAAGTGTTTACTATAGTTTAATGCACTACCCATAAAGGATATGAAATTCATTAAAAGCTTAATTTAACCTTTCTTACATTGCAATTTTTCACTATTCACACACCATAAGAGAGATAATAATTTTAATAATGCATTAATTTATCAACAAATAACTGTTTATTACCCACATGAACTTAATTCATGGGATCTCCAATCACATAGGTTGGATTATCATTATTTGTTGATTTCCTTAATTGGATTAAGTCCCATGCTTGTCGATGTATCATTAATCAATTTTCTTTTCAAGGGTTTAGTCAGAGGATCAGCCAAATTTAAGTCTGACTTCACATAATTAATGGATATAATTTCATCTCTAAGTAGCTGTTTTATTACATCATGTCTCAAACAAATGTGTCTATTTTTAACATTAAAAGTTTCATTCTTTGCAATGGCTATTACCGTTTTGACAATCACAGTGTATAAACACGGAAGGTATTGGTTTCATTTCTAACAGAATATATGCTAAGAGGTTTCTCGACCACTCAACCTGATTGCTAGCTAACTCTAAAGCTACACATTCTGACTCCATTGTAAATTTAACACTTATTATTTGTTTGGTTGATTTCCAAGTTATAGAACCCCCACCATGGCTGAATACATAACCACTTGTAGATTTTGTCTCATCTAAATCTGAGATTCAGTTAGCATTATTGTATTCTTCCAATATAGCAAAAAATTCATTATATAAAATACCATAGTTGGTGGTACCTTTCCAATATTTCATCACTCTGCTCAAGGCAATCTAATGATTTTAATTGAGACTTTGTATATATCTACTTAATCTACACATAACATAAACTATATTAGGTCGAGTATAATTCAATACTTTTCCTTTTTCCCTCTATTACAATAGCTACCATAGTTGAGTTTTCAACAGGGGATTGTAAAATCAAATATCTCTATGACTCTTCCCTGATCACTAGACTATAAGCTTGGTCAATATTAAAAAATGGTTTAAGCATCAAAATATGTGATCTTAGACCTGAGAATGATTCATTTAAACCATTTAAGAAATGAAATACCACATCTTTATTCTGTTGATTTGCATACTTTTTATAGTAATTATTTTTGTAAGCCCCACAATCACATTGAGGCAAAAGCTTGAAGTTTTTTAACTCTTGCCAAATTGAATTCAATTCTGTAAAATAAGCTTTCACTAACCTTGTTCCTTGCAATATATTTCCCAATTGAAACCGAAGGTTACAGATTCTGGTCTCGTCTAGCTGAGCAAATCGATTCTTCAATGTCTCCTAGATTTCTTTAGCTGAGTCCATATAGAGAACATTTGATGCAATCTTTGGTGTTAATGACTCAAGCAACCAGGTGACTATCAAATTGTTACATCTAGATTAATCTTCAAACAATGAATTTGCCTCACTTGGTTCTTTGATCGTTCCATCGATAAATCTCCTTTTCTTGCGAATTGAGATGCAAGCAAGAAAGCTCGGCTCCATGACATGTAATTTGCAACAATAAGTTTAGGATTTATTACTACTAATCGATGAAGATCAAAGTGATGGATGTAATATGGTGAGAGAGGATTTTCTGCAGATGATCTTGCTTTGATAACATATTCGTTTATTTGTACCAATGAACTAGAGTGGAAGAACTCTATCAAAGAATGAAGAGAATACCAGAAAAGGAAGCAAAGTGACAACTGAATTCTTACTATAGTTAATCAGTTACATCTATTTATTCAAAGCTTCAGCTAACTGTCAATAAAGGGCAAAATTAAAAGAAAACTTATTACGACAGTTGCCTATTTACAAGCTAGACACTTGTAGATTGATACACGTGTAACTACCATGTTTAGCAGTAGCTGTGGTAAACCCACTAAGAATTTGCCTAATGGCATCTAACGTAAGATTATCTTTTCTAGTTTAGTTCAAGGCGAGAATTAAATGGGTTTGGCGGCCTTGGCTGCTGGCTGGCTGGCTGGCTCCAGTAATAATAACAGCAGATTCATTGCTTTCCTCCCCTTTCCCGTCACACGTTTTTATACTGAGGAAGGCGAAAGCCCTCAAAAATCAAATTTTAAAAAGTGGAGATCCCTAGTAATTTCCTTCGATTCCTTAACCTAACATTTATCCACGTTATAAATAACATAAAACAAATCTCTGCGGAACAAGTCAACTCTTTCCTTCTACATCTCCTCTTCAAACGTTTCATACAAATTTCAGATCCCGAGTTAATGAACTAGAAAACTCTTTATTAATCCGAAAGCCCAAAAACAAAAGAAAAAAGAAAAGATTCCAAAGCAGATCTCTTCTAATTCATTTGCCAGGTATCTGTAAATCTCTCTTTTTCAATCGAATTTCATCTTGTAATTGCAACGTTCAACGTTATTTCTTTGTTTAGCAAGCAAACGAATCTCTTTTTACTGTTTGGAATCTTCTTTGTCATTCTCGTTCTCAAACAGCGAAAATGTTTTTCAAAGCGTCCGCTCAACGGTTTGCCAAATACCGTTGAGTACATTTTTGCTTCTTTTATTTTTACTCGTTTGCAATGGATGTGTTGTTGGTATACATTTTTCGTGTTTGTTAAAATTCCTGAGTTCGAATGTTATAATATGAACTTAATTTCTTTTAGCATTTTGACTTATGATTTGGAAAGTGTTGACTCTGCTAGAAGCTTTCTTTCTGATTTGAACTTTTTTTCCTTCTAATCGTTTAAATATTGATAAATAGCTCACGGTATGATTGACAAGTAATTGAAGATGGTATAGTCAATCTCATTGTTGTTATTTTTCGGTGAATGAGCTTCTGGAAATAAGATGTGCAAGGACCCTAGATAAGAAACCATATTATTCTTTTGATTATAAGTAGTAATTTTTTTTCTTGCTGCATCATGGTTATGTTATTTTTTTAGCCGTTGTAATTTTCTGTTATCCCTTGATTTTGACGATCAATGATCATTTGATAAAGCAGTTGGGCTCGACAATGGCGGAATCTAACTCTGAGTCTGACTTCTTGAAGAAATTCTACATCCCTACATATATATTCATTGATGAAACAAAAATCTCTGATGTTCCTGATGCTCCTAAATTTCCAGTGCTAGTGTTTATCAACTCCAAAAGTGGAGGTCAGTTAGGTGGGGATCTTCTTAAAACATATAAAACTGTCCTCAATGAACATCAGGTACTTCTAGTGTTTTACGATGCATGCTTGGATAGCTGCTTTGATGCTGATCTCGATGTGACTATTTTTCAGGTTTTTGATTTGGGGGAAGAGGCTCCTGATAAGGTGCTTCGTAGAGTTTATATCAGACTAGAAAAGCTGAAACAAGAAAACGATGAATTTGCCACAAAGATTCATGAGAGCTTAAGAATAATTGTAAGTTGAGCCTGATAACTCACAGGCCTATCTTTCTTGCATGAGGCTATAAATAACGAGGACCAGCAGTTCAGGTATTGTTATTTTTTTGTTTTACACCTTACATGTAAATTGACTTTTAGGTTGCTGGTGGTGATGGGACAGCTGGCTGGCTTCTGGGGGTCATTTGTGATCTTAAATTGCAGCATCCACCTCCAATTGCTACAGTTCCTTTGGGAACTGGAAACAATCTGCCATTTTCATTTGGCTGGGTAAGAATCTGCTCACTTTTATTAGTTGTAATCAAGTAATAAAATGAGGATTAAACTGTCTTGATATGTTTTCTTAGATAGAACAATCTAGGAGAACAAATAAGTGGTCATGCTGTCATCTTTTGGGCGCAACATGCTCTTGGTTGGCTTGGTAGTGTTTGAATTTTCTACATCTCAGTTTCTTTTCTTGTTATCTTTTCTGATATGGAGCTGAGCAAGTTCACACTCTTAGACAAACAATATCCACAGAGTCCTCTGCTTCAGTAAAATTTGTGAATGTTTGCTGAACGTTCTTCCAATTCTTGACTGGCACTGCAATAGACAATAGGAATCTGATGGAGCTCTCTTTATCGTAAATAATATCCATCGCATTTACAAGCTATTCAGTGCTTGTCTAACTTGCAGTTTTCTAAATTACAGGGAAAGAAGAATCCTGGGACTGATCGTAATTCTGTGGTGTCATTCTTGGAACAAGTAATGAATGCAAAGGAAATGAAAATAGACAAGTAATGTTGTTGACATGACTGCTTTCTCTCTCTCTCTCTCTCTCTCACACACACACACACATGCTTGATATGAAGTGAGCTTCTTGTAGAATGAGGAACTCCCTGCTTTGGCCTAGTGTTGATGTAAGCAAATTGTGGTTTGTGTATCCAATTTTAATGAAATGGGGCTTCGTCTCTGTTAAATGATGCAACATACTCCATCTCCTCTACCTGGTTCTTGCGTAAATTTTCTTGTGCATTATTTGATCACATAGAAAATGCACCTGTCTAGCCTCTGACCATGTTCTAATGTGCTAGGAAGTATGCAGTAAGGAAGAATCACTATCTATAAATAGAAAATCCTTCTTGTGTAACTTCTAAATGGAAATAAGTTCCACGAAAAAGTGTGCAACTTTTCTGACAAAACAAATCTTCAGGGAAAGATGTAGGATCTGAAAACAGAGTTCATTACTATATAACTACATTCCTGGAAGAAATTATTGTTTTTGCCATCATTTTCAATAGTATTCTCTTTTATGAGGTCAGAATTTTAAGAAATATTGCAATACCATGCTGCTTAAATTGCAAAGTGCAATTTGTAACTATATTACTGCATTTTTTTCTCACTTGTGTTTATCGGTCTCTAGATCAATATAATATTTCATTTTGCAAAGATATTCTCATCGTAACATACATCTAAATGGTTTTTTCAATTAAATTATAGGGTTGACTAATATAAGTCTTTTTTTTAGCATTGGTCCTTGTGGTTGAATTTTACTATAGTTACTGATATATGCATTTTTGTGCTTCAGTTGGCATATTCTCATGAGGATGAGAGCTCCAAAGGAAGGTCCCTGTGATCCTATTCCACCTCTTGAGCTACCACATTCTTTACATGCATTCGGTCGTGTCTCATCAACAGATGAACTGAACATGGTAACACATTATACCATTACAACTTGTGGCTTCTTAGAATCATTTCTGTCTTCCTCTCTGTATTTGCAATCAAGAAACTGTATGTTTTCTTAACCTTGAGGCTATCTCTTGTCACTTACAAGTGAAAACTCCGAATAGCTTTTTCTTTTCTAATTTTTTTTATTTTCTTTTTTCACTTTATACATTGAATATTTTCAGCAGCACATAATCCTTCTTGGAGCCTTAGGTCTAACTTCCTGTTAACATTCTCTACCTGTCTTAAGATTTATAAAAGAATTCCAATAGGTGTAATGAATCATTGAAACATATTTTGTATCGTTTTGCATTCTTATATAAAATTCTTTTGCTCCGCAGGAAGGTTACCACACATTTCGTGGGGGGTTCTGGAATTACTTCAGCATGGGTAAGTGTGCTTTCTCTGCACAAGTATTCAAACTGTTATGTTGCTAACCTAAAGCTATCTTAATCTTCTTAAGAAATGTCTTATAACTGTGGATGCCTTTAAAGTGCATTTGTTTTTGGCAATGACAATCTAAAGTGCAACTTAATTATACTTCTGATATCATAAATTAACCTTTTTTCTTAATTCCTTTTCCTTTCTGTTGCCTAACGTACATTGAACAATTCTAGTAAGGAATATATGATATTGTAGAAGATATATTGAACAAAAAATTAATAAAATGTAAGGCTTCCTTATGTGCCTAGCTCCATTTTACATCTTGTTGAACTATTTCCAAGAAATGTGGTTTTTGAGTTGTTTTGTTTCTTGTACAAAGTTTATGTCTTTACTATCTTACAATCCCATTTTTTTCTTTTTTGGGCCCACTGGTTAGGCTAAACAAATGGGAAGTTACCCTCCCCCTTATGTAAGACCCCTCATCACTAGCGAAGGTAGGATTTTATCCGAAGTCCTTGGTGCAACCACCAAAAGACTTTACCAGCTATGCTAGTGAACCCTTTCATTACTATCTTACAATCCAATATAAGGAGCAGATAGATAAATTTCTTTATAACATAGTTTGCCCCGGTTTTTTTTTTTCTTTCATTTTCAAACTTTTAAAAGAATTCATAGCATCCTTCAAAGTATTGCAAACTCTCACCCTCCTGTTATCTGGTTTACTCAGCTTTGTTTCTAAAATGACAAGTTATTGCCTAGTTAACCTCATAAATATTGTTGTAATGTCATCTGCAGGAATGGATGCTCAAGTATCTTATGCTTTTCACTCTGAGCGAAAGCTGCATCCAGAAAAATTTAAAAACCAGTTGGTTAATCAGGTATAGTTCTGTCAGAATATCATCTTCTTTATTTGTGATTGAGGCATGAACACATGCAGTCAAATGATCGTGGTTTTCCCAAGGATGTTACATGATTAATTGCTAGCTTATATTTTCATGATGGACTTATTCTCTTACAACTTTAATTATGATCTTTTTCAAGAATTAATTATGTTACCATCTGTACCTGAAAAATTGGTTAGTAAATTTTTCAAAATAGATAACAATTACTAAGAAATTGAAGGAATTAGAAACTAGACATAATACCAGATAGATTTGGTGCTCTTGTAAAGTGCATGTGGCCAATTTTCATTGGATGACGGCGTGAGGATTTAAAATGCTAGAAGATGCTGTTGATTTAATAATTAATTACAATGTTAGTTAGTTGCTTTGTTTTGTCAAGAATGCACATTGTAGGTGTCGCATTGATCTGCTGTCCAAACTGGGATGATCACCTTATAGGCAAGGCCCTACTTGTGGAGTTTGTGTGTTTGTAATCTAAGTTGCTCAGTTGATTAGAGTGAGAACTAAATTCAAAGAGACAGCGCATAGATCTGATGTCCAAACTGGGATGATCAACGTACGGGCAAGGCCCTGCTTGTGGAGTCGGTCTTCTAATCTAAGTTGCTCAGTTTATTAGAGTGACAACTAAATTCAAAGAGACAGTGAGACACTTTGTTTTGCACAATTTTGTGAAGCCTTGAAAAAGAAATTTGAAGCTGCCAAACCCGTAAAATTTGATATTAGTCTGGCAGGCTGCAATAAATGGAGCTCTTTAGTTTTCATTTGCTGAGTTTGTTTACCTGGATTTGAGCTACTTTAATGTCTATTATAACACAGCAACAGCAGTACTTTAATTAGCTTTTTTTGTTTTTTTCATATGATCCTCAAAAATTTCAACTTTCTTCTGCATAAAAGTACTAGCTTTTATGAACTCCTCGACAATGTTTTCAACAATTTTTCTTGAAAATTTAATTCAGATTTATTTGCTACATAATGACATACTTTAGTTACGGAATATATACATATTTGTATGCATGTGTATCTTTGTGTGTGTGTGTGCGCACGCTCGCGCGCGTGTGTGTATCTTATTCTGGATCTTGCTTGTCTTTTGATACTGACATCTTCTGCTTAGGAAGATATGTTGGTTACTGAATTTAACATGTTCTACTTTCTTTCCAACAGAGCACCTATGCAAAGCTTGGTTGTACACAAGGGTGGTTTGCCGCTTCTATTTTTCATCCTTCTTCAAGGTGAACTTGGTTGTTTGATAGTAAAAATTTTCCTTTTTCAAATCAAAGATTAGGCTCAAGTTCAGGTTTCATGCATTTTCCTGTCACTAAAAATTGGCTTGTTTCTCTAATGAATTTCTTGATAGTGAAAAATAAAACATAAAATCAAAAGAACAACCAGGAAAGCTGAATATGTAGGAGCTTATAATATGATTAAGTGTTCCATAATATACTGCCTTCTGCTGTGTCAAACTGGCATTTTAGTCTTTCATTTTGAGAGAAACTGCAGCACGTGTAGAATGTCTTTTATTATTTCAGGTCCTAACAGTTCGCTAGATTCAACAGAACATCTCTGATCAGATAATTTTAGCTCCTTTGCTCAGTTAATTGAAAATTTTATATGATCTTGACCTACAGGAATGTTGCTCAGCTTGCGAAAGTAAAAATCATGAAAAGGCAGGGTCAATGGCGGGACCTCCACATACCACACAGGTAACTTGAACTTGGTCTTATGCAGGTTTCTAGCTTTAGACCGTTCATATTTGTGCATGTTTGAAAGAAAAAGATTTTGTGCATATCAAGCATCACTGTTACACAATTTAAAAGGAAAAACGTACAAATAGGGTTTAGCTGATGATTATAAATGTCAATCACAATTCACAAGAAGCATGTGCTGACAAGATATATAGCTCATCTCTTTACTTGCTTCTATTTCTTTTCCACCGAAATGGTAATTCACGTTTTATATACAATGGTAAGAAAAGATACTATTAAAGTTTTTACTAATATGCATCACTTAATTGAGGAAACAAATATGATATTGACTGCAAGTTATGCAATCTGCATATTTTCATTCAAGAAGTGATTAGTAGAGCTTTTCAATTGACTTGATAGTTAGGGCAACTGATTCTAATATCTTTTACATTTACTTATTAATGTTTGTGTTAGTAAATATTGATAATTCTCATTATTGATAAACAGAACAACTGAACAAGCATAAAAGCGATTAATGAACCTAAATGGGAAAAAAGAAAAGGCCCAACAGTACACTGGTGAAAAGAGAAAAGAGGTAACTCACTGTACATGACAGTTTTTCTTTGGTTAAGAGATGGTTATTGCAAAAATTGGCCATGCTATATTAAGAAACTTCCAACACCGCAATTTCTGAACAAGCTTCGAGAACATTGTAGACGTTGAGTCCTTCAATGTGGTTGTCTTGGTTTATGGGACATAAAGATGTCTCTTTCTTCCTTCATTCATGCTTTGTAACATTGAAAAAATTGTTTGGAGTTCTTTGTGGGTAGAACCATTAACTGTTGCTTATTTCAGTTTTTTCTGCTTAATTTCCTAATATTGTTTTCACTGTAGTAACCCATGGATGCCTCTAATATCTTTCCCATGCCCCCTTTCTCCTTAATTTTAAGCAGCATAAGGTCAATCGTGTGTCTCAACTTGCCCAGCTTTTCTGGTGGTCTAAATCCTTGGGGAACACCAAGTGGCAGAAAACTGCGAGATGTTAGTTCCTATATATGTCATTTGGTTATTGCTTTTTAATCTGACAATGGGGTTTTCTATTTGATTAAGCAACAGCAACCAACTTCATGAAATATGGCTTTTTGCTTTTCAAAATCTGATGAAATATCTCTCAATTGACTCTACAGAGAGACTTCACTCCACCTTATGTAGATGATGGCCTTCTGGAAGTTGTTGGTTTTCGAGATGCTTGGCATGGGCTTGTGTTGCTGGCTCCAAATGGACATGGAACTCGTCTGGCACAGGTAATGATTAAAGAAGGCATAAGCCAGTAGCCAAACCTCCCTTTTCAAAGCGGAAATCTACAATTCAAATCTCTCTCCTCCAAGCTATGGAAAATATTTTATTAAAAGGGGTTTCTCGAAGCAATGATTTTACTTCTCCCCTATATTTTCCCTGCATTAATACGAGGACCTAGTCATGTGTAAAAAGTTGCAGGACTGAAATTAGTTAAATTGATCTAAATGCTAAATAATATGTATGTGTAGGCGTAGGTGCGCATGAGTCTATGTTTACAAGTATTGTGGTTTGACTGATGTAAATCTCTTTTATGTGTTCAATTCAGTATTTTCAGTATTCATTATTTGTTTTGTCATGGCATCTAGGCACACCGAATCCGCTTTGAGTTTCACAAAGGTGCTGCTGACTATACATATATGAGGATTGATGGGGAACCCTGGAAGCAACCACTGCCTAAAGATGATGATACTGTTGTGGTTGAAATTTCTCACCTTGGACAAGTGAACATGCTTGCAACCCACAATTGCCGGTCCAAAAGTGTCCATGATCCCTCATCAACTAGTCATCACAAGGGCGAGGAAAATGGTAATGATGAAGAAGAAGACTCCAGAAATGAAGCGGACGGTTTTGGGAAATTTGGGGCAGCAGACACGTTCAAGATCCCAGATGAGGTTGATATTTCTCAACTTAGTTAAAAACATTTAATATTTCATTTGTCGCGGTCATCTACTTATCCTGGGGTTCAGTCTTAATTTGAGTTCAATAGTGCTGTAAAGGTTGCCATTCATATTTAAATTGTTGTTCATCTTAATGAAATGAAGCCGTTATCCAGGGAACCGTACGTCTTACTGTGTTCTGGTGTTGACTGAGTATATTTAATTTTGTGGCGGCTCTAATCCATAAGCAGTAAATACGTCTATCTGAAAATTTTAAAATAAGGATTCCTAGCTAAATAAACAAATGGAAATACGGAATCAACCTCCTACCATTAACAGATTGAAACTTGTGATTTGAGTATTAATCGGAATGATAGTTTTATGATGCCATAAGTAATTGGGCTATGAACAAATGATACATTTGGACTGAATTTTGGTAATACACATATAGGATGTATCTCAACCACCAAATTGAAAACAGTAGACAAGCGGATAAATTGTGCCTAAACCATGGGAGGTTACGGTTTCTACCTCAGAGCAAACAAAAACAGGATTCAAGTATCACAGAAGATGATGAGCACATTGGGAGCACGTACACAAACCAGACTACTGGCCCACGTATTGGTATTCGCCCAAACATTTTTTGACTGCCTCATTGGCCTTCTGTGATTCTGATCTTTCTTCTCTTTTCTTCTTCTCCCTGGAGGTCAAAAACATTTCATCGTGTATAAGAATTCAGCAACCAAAAAAAATATATATATATAAGTAGCTTACGCCAACATCGAAAGCCCCTCTCATTTTTAAAATTTCTCAAACAAGCTCTTCTCTTTCTATTGTACTCAATTAAGCTTTTAAAGTACTATTTTAATTTAAGAAAGCCCTTCTTTTGCAAGAAAGCTACTAAAAATTGATTATTTCTGCCACGTCAACACCTGCATGGGTGTTATCTTTGCCTAATGAATATCCATGTGGCAAAATATAAATATTCATGTTGAGTTAGCGCTTACATGGCATGCAGCATTGGCATCCATCACATGCCATATCAGCGCCTACCAAGCTCTTTTTTTGCCATGCATGTGCCAACGTAGATGTTGACTTGATAGAGATAACAACCATATACAAGTTGACATGGCAACAATAACTAATTTTACAGGCTTTCATGCAAAATTAGCACTTAAGAAATAAATGTAAGACTTTAAGAGCTTAATTGGATACAATAGAAGTATAGGGCTTACCCAAGAATTTTGGGATATTACAGGAGCTTTTTTAGTATTTTAGCCAACAGCTTAAAATTGATTAGCGATGAATCGCATCTGTAAAGCAAAGAGCATTTCAAGTGCATCCACAATTTGGCAAAGATCCAAAGTGCTGAACACATTTAGAACTGAAGGTACCAAAGTGGCTGCCCTATTCACTTTCAATAGTGATTTTCAGGTATAAGACATTGTAGCAAGTTAGACAACCAGGCGTTTTCATATGTGTTTATACTAACATGGTAACTTTGAAACGTCAAGTGTTTACTTATTTTCTCCCAATTTGCAATTGGTCTACAAATTGATGTCCTTGCAGGAGGTTCATATCCAAAAATTGGTTATTACTGCTTCATATCTAAAAGGTTGGCTGTTCTTTCAAAGGTTCAATGGCAAGAATTACAGTGTAAATGCTCTCGCTCGGACTGAGTATATCTGTTAAACTTAGGCAGCAGTAGGCAAAAGAAATAGCGCATGATACTATGAATCAGAAGAAGTTAACTAGGAGGAGAGAATTTACCTATCAACATACTCCTTAAGCAACTCTTTCGCTTGAACCAGCTTTGAAAGCAGATTCCTATACACATCAAGATCCCGATCCACACTTCGTTTGTTGATATTTAAGGCTGCACAAAGCTGTTGTACAGATGTCATAAATTAAAATCTCGGTGCAGCTGTTCCTTATAGTTTATCATTGCAAGTTTCATTCTGTTATACATCCAGTGCTGTTGTCATTGCTTTTTCTATCCCTCAGCTTCTTGCAAATACAAGTAAAGCTCATGGTGATTCTGGTGAATGCTTAATTGATTGAATTATTGCTCACTTATCCCACCCAACAATCCTACAATAGTGTCTTAGGCCTGCCCCTGATAAATTCTACTTGTGCTAGGGTGTAAGTAAATCAGAACTTAGTCCATCAATAAACCAATAGATAGAAGGAAAGGAGGATCCAACCTTTTCTAAAATTGTAGGTTCAGTTGCATTGGCCAGCTCTAGAAGACGAAACAATCCAACAGCAAAGAAACGGCTATAGCTGAAACTCCCCTTACCCCCAGCTCTTTCTGCAATATCTTTCAGTATCGCCTCAACTTCTCCATCTCTTGACGAAAACTCAACTAGTGAGCTGGAAGTTTGAGAACGGGCCCACTCTTCCAACTTCTGTGCATCAATTCTGTAAGGCACAACATACAGAAAAAAGAACATTATATAGAAACCAACTTCTCAGTTACTTCAAGATTTAATGATTCAATAAAATGCAAGCATTCTAAGGAATACAATCCCCGTTTCATAAAGAATACCATAGTTCTGATCTTGGAACACATTTAACTTCCTAAACAGGAATAGTTCGGCATAGCATATTCGGTGCAATTTGCTTGTTCGTTTTTTGTATTTGTGATAGAAAATTCCCAAATCCATATCATGAATTTCAAGCCATCCTAGTTAGTATATGCATCTTTGCATGGTAAATGAAGACATGGAAACTCGACAGACAAACCTGTACTGTTCGGGGTCCTCTTTCAACGCTTTGATGTAAGCTTGGAAGATGGCATCTCGATCCTCATCACTTGGATATCCTTCCATCAATTGATCATATACCGTGACGAAACCAAGGGCGAAAACAGCATCATAACGGTACGTCCTCTTGTACCTCATCAAATGTTGCTGCACAATCAGCTCCTGCAAGACCGTGTTGTAGACACTTGGGATGGGTCGTTTATATGCTTTTAAAAAATTCAACTTTGTTTCAGATACAGTTGGGACATCTGAAAATCAAACTCAAAACAGACAAACAAATCACCTGTCAACAAAAAGAATTAAAAACCAATATACATAATGTATCAAAATTTTAATTTTTCTTTTTGCCAATTCATGCTTATATAAAAATCCATATCAATTTTAGAATAGAATAATCTCTATAACTCAATTGGTGAAGCCAAGTTCCAGCATTGCAAAGGAAAAATAACTAACCAGTAGCAGCACACATGCAGTGAACAACGGAAGGAGAAGCGGACGCGGAAGCTCGAACACCTACGGAATGATTTAAGACGCTTGTACGGAAACGCAAACCTTCGAAATTGGAAGCCAAGTAACGAGCCGATGGGACATTGACTTTTCTGTGGCCGGAAGTTTGACCAATAGCCGATAAAGAAAGTGAACTAACTGCAGCCATTAGTTTAAAAACAAAAAAACAAAAAAAGCTATCCGTTTATGTACTATCGCCAATATATCAATACACAAAAAAGGAGGCAGATTTTTAGAGAAAGCTTGGGTTTTGGAAACTTGGGAGTTGTGAGGTTAAACCATAATGGGAACCTGTGAAGAGAGGTTCTGGTTTGGAACTGAAGGGAAAGGGGGAGAAGAGAGGCTTATCCAGTGTTAGAAGGACATGAGGGATTTTTGTGAATTTGGAGAGGAGCTCGTGAGCTTTTGACACGTGGCCATTTGTTACTTGTGCCCCTTTCTCTCTCTGACTTGTGTGGCTTACGTTTCCGTGAAAGGGAAATTCTTTGCAAAGATTGTTTCTTTTCTGGCATTGTCCCTCTCCTTGAACGCTGCGTTTCGTTTAGCACAACTGAATATCTGAATGGCTTCTTCGCAATTTTCACAGAATTTCCATCTGAAAGGCCAATTTTACAGCCCGGAGTAGACCTTTTATATGAGTTAGACAGATGCTTGAGCGGCTACGCTACAAACTACCTGATGGGAAAGGAGGCGTAGAAATGGGAGTCACCAGTTTAGCAAGCAAACAAGGATCAATTCTTCGATTGACTCAACTTCCTCTGTTAGTACCTCTCAAGGCCTGACGGCACATGGCCCCAGTGTGGTTTATCTTATTTAAGAGAAGATAAGATTCCGGCCAAAGGAGTGCTGCATAATAATGACATTTCTCTTGCTTGCCTACTCAAATAGCAAACTGGGCTGCTGGAGCCTGGATGTAAACTATCTGATAATAGACAACAGTCATCTTGTTTAAATTCCTATCAACTCATAATCAAATCTTGAAGAGTGGGAGCACAAAACTCTTCCTAGGCTTCGTTATCAATATTCACTCGAGTTTGCAGAAATATCTCTTGTATAAAGAAAGCACTAATTAACACCACCTTAACAAAGATATCTTCACATTTAGAATTTGCCTGAAAATCTCACCTCAATCTCAATGGTAATAAATTGGATTGCAACACAAAATGCAACTTTTTATGTTGTGGCTATTGTTAAGTCTTTGAGTCAAAGTAGTGACCAAAAAACAAAATGCAAGTCACACCCCAGCATTATGTGTCAGTCTTATCTATCTGATCAACGGGTCTAGGTTATTCATCTACTCACATGCATATATGCCTTCTGCTCCAATGTCTAAGAAAGGAGCGTGCAAGTTATCTTTTGCAGTCTGTAATAATTCTAGCTATAGGCTTTTTCTTTTTCTTACTTTAATAGCCAAACAAGGGGAATCAGGAAGAAGAGAGAAGGTACACATTGGTGAGGCAAACAGAAAAAAGAAAAGAAGAAAAAGTGGGTGCCGTGTTTAAATCAAATATAATAAAGAGTTTCCAGGAAGATTGAGATGGGGTAAAGGGATTCATTTTAACTTTACTTGTTTCTGTCTTTGTAATGGAATCTAGCCACTAACATGCATTAGTACGTAGATCCCAGGGCAGAGTTGCATTTGCTAGTCACTTCTCTGTGACAGTGTAGATACAATGGAAAAACTAAAGCTAAGAGGCCATAATAAGCGCAATAAAAAGCAAACCAACTGATGCTTTTGTGGGGAAAATCCATTTTGCAAGGTAGAAAATTATAGGATGAAATGTTTACAGTAGTTAGCATGTGATGCAAGTGGATTATTCACTTGAAGCAGGGTTCGAGTGAAGTTCAACTATACACAATATAAAATTTTGATGGAATGGATTTCGCCAGGTGGATTAGTCAGATGGATCAGATCTTGAATGGATTAATCTAATTTCTCCATCATCCATGGCAGGTGGAAACTACCTTAATAAACATCTTTTTCTTTTCAAAAAACCACAAACCACCAAGGTAAAACTGGCATCCTTCCCGAGATGTTGCTGGTCTTTATATACTAAATTTCGTTTCCGGGCTCTCTCCCCGCCTGTTAGTATACTTTAACTTACAAGGCCACTCTCTTATCATAAGCTTTCTCTCTTATCTTCTGTTCTCCAGAATACTGTCTCTCTTTCTTTTCTCTCACTCCTGATCACTCACACCCACACAAAACTATAAAAGCATTGGTTGGCTTTGGAGCAGGACCAAAGATGGGCTTGAAAAACACAAGCCGGGGATTCTTCCAAGTAGAATCAGAGGTTAAGCAAGGAATCAAAGACCAAGCACCTAAAACTGAATCAGTTGTCAAATCTTCTTCTAAGCAAGTGAGAATCATTTCGGGATCCTTTTATCCCATGCATACTGATAAGCCTGCTAAAATTAGTAACGACAGTAAGCTTCAAAATGCTGAAGAATCCCTCAGGACTGTGATGTACTTGAGTTGCTGGGGTCCAAACTAATGTCAACAAAATTTTGTCAACAGATTCAGTTCTTAAGCCTGCAGCTGTTTTCTTCTAGAGCTGTTTCCTAGGGCAAATCGAAGCAGTGTAGAGTGCTCAGAGTATGTGTACATACAGTATGTTCCTTTCTTTTTTGTTAATTTTGTACAAAAGTCTTCCTTATTATACATCATAGTTGCCTGTATAAATAGGTTTCTGCTCTCTTGTATATTATCTCAACGAGTTTTTAAGTGGTAATGTAATTAATGTTAAAGTCCTCTTTGGCAGAGCTCATGATCTTTGATTGATCAAATTTGTTACCTCAACGTATAAAAACTAACACAATAGTTTGGAAATAAAAGAACGGACAAGAACCGTCACTTAGGCCTCAAAAAGTAAAGTGCATAGCTTTCTTAATCTTGTCGGCTTCCCTTGTTCTTCGTTTTGCCATTTTTGCTGATTCGGATCCATCCGAAACCCACCCAACCTGAGCCAAACTATCGGACTCTGATTGGGGCCTTCCCTGGGGCTTTACGCCTTTTCCCCATTGGACTGCTTTAACCGAAGCCCTGCATAAAAGAGCCTCACGTTTCCCATGTCTGAAATTAGGGTCCATTTTCATAGGATCTTTTCAGCTTTTGCGATCAGTCATTCAACCAACACTTTCGTGGTAAACAAGTGAAAATACAACAACCGATCGGTTCTATACAGGGAGCCACCATAATCTTTTAGCTAAGCCGTGAGCTCTCCACAATAAATGAACCCTCTAGGAATTTTTATTAAGACAAATCTCACTGATAAAAAGGTGAGAAAATAACATATATGACACATTAAGGGAGTAGGATCAGTAATTCTATGATGATTTGTTCCCTAAAAGATAATATTATACCTTAAACATTATTGTCCATGTGCCGTATGATTAGCAAGATTCTTTCCCCATGTTCCCATAGTGTTGTATTGATCTAAATAATATATTATTTATCTGAAGTATCAAACGCAGATGGGTTTACCTGTAAGATTTTAGCAAGGATCTGTCCAAATTGAATTGATGGAAGAAAGGAAAAAAAATGCAAATTAACATGTAAAAGAAAAGATTCTTTTTATGAACTTGATACTGGAACCCATATGACGGGGAGAGGCTTCTTGTGATCGGATGAATGTTAATCTACGATTACTCCCTAAAAATCTTTTATAATTATTTTTTGGTACATATCTTTTGTAATCGTTATTAAGTACATTTTTGTATCCGAAAACTTAAATCATATAATATCTGACTTACTAATGAAATTCTAGTTCATCTAAGAGCTAATTAAAAAGAAGTTAATGTAACAGTGTAGCTCATAACCCAACGGCAGATTTTGTTAGTAGAAAAAAAATTTTGATGGAATTCAAAAAATCGATTAAATTGACTTTAAAGTAAACCTTTCAATAGACGTTATTTTTAATACTTATTTTGATCCCATCACTCGATATGTAAAAGAAAATTATGCAAATAGTTTTAAATATATAATGAAACTAATGTTTAACTTTATCTTTATACTTAATGATAGTAAACCGTTAGATACATCTGAAGATTTATAAAGTTGTTTAGCCTGTAAGTGTTTATGTTAATTTTCATAACATAACACTTCTCTTGTTTTTAATTTTTTGTTATTATTTTATTTGTTTTAATGTGTTAAAATGGTTGATAACAAATCTTCTATATAGACTTCCAAGTGTCTCTTCTCAAAAACACAACCCTTTTATCAAGGCCCTTCTTTGTTTTAAAGATACTTTTGCATTTTGCAAAATACAATTCTTGTATAAAAGGTATTATTTCAATAATTACATTACGAAATGATAACTATTCATATAATAAAACATAACCTTTGAACTACTATATGAAAAGATAATTTTACATATTCAAACTTTTGAGCTATAGTGGTTTCCAATTATTTCATCATTTTTGGATTTAGAGGTGCTTTTTCAATATATCATTTTATTAAGAGACATAACTATTCATATAAAAAACTCACTTACAATCCAATAGCCATACTATATGACATAATTTTTTATTTTGAAAATACACCCACAATCTGCTATCATTTTTAAAATTTTTAAATACCAACAATTTTAAAAATCTTACGCTTAAATAAAGGAATCTCGTATAGTTGAACATTCACTTAGTGAGTGTAGTTGGTTCTAGTCTGAATTGAATAATTAACCAACCATTGAATTATAGATTCTTCATTTAACTAGTCAAGCCACTAAATACATACAAGCCTCCTTTCTCACTTGGTATCTAGTTTTGTGAACATATTTTTTATAGCTTTGTGTTTTGCATCTATTCATGAGTACTATCAAAGTCCAGCCTTCCGTCCCTATAAGCAACCATACTTGCACTCACATAGGTAGCCCCCATCAAAAGTACCTAATAATTATAGTACTTCAACATATATATGTTATAGGTCTATTAATAACTTTTGTTCAATCTTACTTTACACATTACGAGAACCAAGCACCATAGTCCTTGGGATGAAAAAAATAAATTAGTACTTACAATTATCCATGTGGTAAAATGGTCAATACCTAAGACTTGCAAGTCGATCGCAAACATTGAGATAGACTCCTACAATGGGAGATTTAGTTGATATGCTTAAGACCCATCCCTCTTGAGGTTTTTATTACCAAGTCCTTTCAGATCTTTGATATACAAATTTGCTAAGTTTTCACAAGACCTCGCATAATTTATAGTGACTATACTATCATTGATTCTTTGTCTTATTGTTATGTCGAAGTTCAATATATCAACTTTTTCCATTGTATGCCTGATTATATGACTTTGATGCCATTGCTTCATTACCACAATGTATCAAGATTGGTGTCATTGGTTTAGGCCACAATGAAATTTCATAGAACAAATCTTTCAATCATTCTGCTTCTTAGGTAGCATATGCCAAGGCTATAAATTCACTTGTCATGGTGAAGTCTGTTTGATAACATTGTTCTTTAGACCTTCAAGAAATAGCATCCCCATCAATTGCAAAATTTCAACCAATCATAAAAGTATGATCCATTTTATTTGAGTTCTAACTAACATCTATATACCCTTCTAAAACTGAATCATATCAATTATAAAAGACACAACAACACTTTATCCATGTTAAGATTATATTGCCTAGAGCTATTAAGCATGCATTCAAGCTCATAAAATTGATTCATGACCAAACGATCATTTATGGATGTAAAAATATATTTTTTTCCAACTAATATGTGTTTACAATGCATATCACACATAATACCATTCACATCAAGCAAAGAAAGAAAACTTATCTTGTAATCTAAAGTAGAACCATTTTGCTACAAATGAATCTCATCCATAGATTCTTCTTCAAAGCATTATAACTAGACAATGTTAGTGGCCATCTCTTTTAGTGAAGCTATTTTAAATTCTCATTTCACAAAAAATGAATTTTAAAATTGTTGGTACAAATCTTAGATGGAATTTAAGGAATCAAGAAAATTGACTTTAAGACAAACCTTTCAATAAACGCAATATTTAAGACTTATTTTGCCCCTACCACTTAGTATGTCAAAGGAATTTATGCAACTAGTCTTAAAAATACAATGAAACTAATGTTTAATTTCGTCTTTACATTTAACGAGAATAAACCACTAGATATGCTCGAGGATTTACAAAGTTGTTCAACTTTAAAGCCTACTTTCTATAGTAAATAGATTATAAGAAATTTAAACTCCTTTAGTAATTGATAGGAACTTAAGTATTTATATTAATTTTTAGAACATAATACTTTTCTTACTCTTAATTTTTCTGCTCTTATCTTTTTTATTTTTGATGTCACAAAATGATTGACAACAAGTCTTTTATATAGATGTGCAAATGTCTCTTCTCAACCTTTTCATTCGAGGCACCGCTTATTTTAAATATACCTCTATACTTTACAAGGTATAATTCTTAAATAAAAGTATTGTTCTAATAATTATTTTATGAAATGATAACTATTCGTACCATAAAACATAACATTTGAGCTATTATATAGAAATATAACTTTTTATATCCAAACTTTTGAATTATGATATTTTTATGATTATTTCATAGCTTTTGAATTTAAAGATATTTTTTTAATATGTTATTTTATTATGAGATACAACTATTTATATAAAAACTCTCATTTATAATCTAATAATTATACTATGTCACATTATGTGATATAACTTTTTATTTAAAAAACATACCAATAAATTTCAATATAAATACTCAAATAAAAAGAAAAAGAAAAGAAAGCTCGGACAGTCTCGCATACAGGTCAGAGAGACTAAATTGCACTGGGTCCCCAGCAGATGAGATGCATGATGTTCTCAGCCTTTTCAGCTTCCCTTAGCTTCTGTTTATCATCTGAGCCAACCTGCTTAACGGGTTCCTTGGTGCCTGAAACCCATCTGAACTGAGAAGACTTTCCAGGTTCCGATCTGGGCTTGGCTCTACCCATGATCCCTTTAGAGCTATGGTCTTTCAGCCCCTGAAGTGCTTTCACACATATCCTGCTCCAGTACCTTAAACTCATTCTTAATGCTACCTGCTCTTGAACGGAGGGTGAAAACCTATCCTTTTGACTGGCCGCAGTTAGAGATACAAAGGGCTATCCGCTAGCCAATTTAGTCTTAGCTACAGGGGCCACTTCCTAAAATTGGCTGCATTCCAGGGGCTACTTCCCACCGTTAACTGCCTTGATTCACATTTGCATGAATAATTATTAGCTCGGTCCCATCACCCCTTTAAAGATGACAATTGCACACATGTCACATCCATTTGTTTAATTTTTGATCAAATACGAGTCCGTGCAAGCACAGGCATCCCTATTCTCTATTAGAGTCGTTCACAATCTTCATCGACGTGGATTACTATTGGAAGCTCCACGTTTGGATTGTTTGTGGTTTGCGACAATTTGAGTTTGATGCAAGAGGTTTTCAATTTGATTATCCCGTGATTTTAACGCCAAGGTTCAAAGATATAATAATTTATTTAATTAAGATTTTCTTGTATTAAATATATTAAAATTTGATCTTAAATTTAAAAAAAAATTGAATTTTCACATTGCTTTGTAATTTGATTGCGAGATTTTTTCAAATAATTGAAACAAGAGCTGTTGAAACATAGGCAGCGGACAGTGATTTGATTAGATTGGTTGAATTTAATCCATATGTATATATCACCGTTAGATGGACCTCCCCAATATGGAACTTGTTCAGTCATTGTTTAACCTATATCTGGCGAAGAATTCACTCTTCACAAACAATCTAACGAAATACAGCGTAATTTCTTCCTTCTCTTCTTGCTTTTCTGTCTCTCTTCTCTTCTTTGTCTATAAGTTTATCAATGGCTTCTCTCCTCAGCCTGCCGCCATGGCCCATGCGTTATATTGCTCTGTTGATTCTGTTAAGGAAGGTTTATATCACGATGACAAGCCGCATTAAGTTGTCAAATCTCAGTTACTCAGAGCACAAAATACATGCTAGCATGTCATGCTCTCAAAGCACCAGCAGGGTCCCCTTAGCAAGAAGCCAAGTTCGACCAATGTTTTTGAGTGAAAAGCCAAAAGCAATAAACAAATTGCGGCCGATCGCCGTTTGTCAATAATGACCATCATCAATTTCTGAAGAGCTGACGTTACGTTGAGATGCACCCCACTTTTGTAAACCACTCTCTATCTCAAACCACTGTGTCTGTAGTACCGAATTCAAGCGGCTGTAAAGGATCACTAGGGACAAAATTTTCGCCCGATTTAACAAAACCGCCGGCTGTCGCCACCAAATTCTCAACTTCTCTATATATACCTAATGCCTCCCTTAGCGTGCCTGAAGTTTTACAAAGCATCAAGCCAACACATTGATCGCCACGAAACAAGAAAAAGAGTAGGAAAAGCAATAAATTTTTGAAGTTGAACTGAAGATGAATTGGAGTGCAGGAAGCAAAGCGTGGATTGTTGCAGCAAGTATTGGAGCTGTTGAGGCTTTGAAAAACCACAACCACGCAATGAAGGCCATCAACCAACATGCCAAGATCAGTGTTAGATCATTCTCTCAGGCCAAGAAGCTTTCTTCTTCTGCAAAGGCTTCTAGCAAAAAACCAAAGCAGGCTGACGACTCTTTGAGGAAAGTTATGTACTTGAGCTGTTGGGGTCCTTATTGACACCAAAGCACTAAAGCAGAGGTTGCAGTAGTACGTACGTTATAGTCTAGTCCTTCAAGATGATGAGAAAGTATGAAAATTGTACAGATGGTAAGCAACTGTTTTATCAGATATAAAGAGAGCAATTTTGTCAACTAATTTGTTCTGTTTGTTGGTTATATGGTATATGATTGAGCAGACGTAGTGGGCATGTTGATATACAGGGATAAGGATGATAGTTTAGACGTAACACGGCTTGATTAAGTTAATTTTTATGCATTACTACAGTGATGCCCGTGTCGTTCGAGCGGGACAGTCAACATTTTTTTTATTCGGTTTTGTTATTCAATTGTTGGAAAATTGACAAAATAGATATATAATGATGCTGAGCAAAATGCCCATAAGTCATTTACAAAAGAAAAGAAAAAGGTTAAAAAAAAAAGCACTTGAAATCGGATAAAACAAAATTATATTAAAAAATAAAAGAACTTTTTTTTTTGGAGATTAAAAAAAAAAGAACTGAAAGCAACAATTTAAAGAAAAGTAACAAAATCACATAATAAAATGAAAATCTTGCTAATCAAATTGGTAAATCCAAAAAGAAAGCCCCGAAAAATTTTATAAAAAGAATAAGAAATTGAAAAATATAGCAACCAAAACAAAAGAATAAAAGGCACCACCCATCAAAACCTGACTCATCTGAACGAAAAAAAAAACCAGCAAAAACCAAACCGAAAAAGGAAAGAAGAAAAATGGAAAGAAAATGACAAAGAAAAACGCTAAGACCAAGAAAGAAAACCGCAAAAAAGAAAGCAAAAAACCCCTTTTTCTTAAGCTTCAAAAACATCAAATAGAAAGCAAGAAGGAAAAACCAAAGAAGAAGAGAAAGGCTGAGAGAAAACAACAGAAAGAAGATGGAAAAAAAAAAGCGCAGAGAAATAAACATCGAACAAACGGGCACAGAAAAAGAGAAAACCTTCTGGGGCTCCAAACTCAAAGCCAAAAGACCAAAAACCTCAAAAACAACACTACAAACTCAAAAAGACCTCAAGAAGAGAATAATGGGGAAATGCACGTGTCAAACATCTGAGGTATCCACGTGGAGCTAAGCTCTTGTGAAGATCCTTAACCTTTTATTGGTGGAGATGATTATTGAATACATGACACTGTTGACGCTGTCCCTTTGCGTACACCAACTGCTAATGAATTAATGGTCAATTTCAGGAAAAATTACTAGGACCAACTTGTCCAAGGGCTGCGAGTCTTTTGCTCGCGTCGGAAGAGTGGAAGAAACTTGAATTATGCCTTGCTATGAAAACCAAGACAGCTTAGGGATTTGCAAGTTTTCCTAACAATCAAACGCCAGCTAGTTCGTTGCATCCCTTTTTTCTTCCGTTATGTACGTGCGATTTTTGCTATGCGGCGTTAGCTTTATTAGGCAGCTCAGCAGATAATACCAGAAATGCATTTGTCAAGGTAAAAGTTTATTTAATAAAGCAATTCCGGAGGTAAAATATTCAAGCTTGACTGCTTAAAAGCAACATACGGAACAAGGGAAAACACGAAAATGGTAACCTTTTTTTTTACATTTGTTAATCTTAGGCTCTTGTAATAAATGATAGGCTAAACTACTTTGTTCCTTACCTAACTTTTTAAAATTTTCTTTATTCTGAGAACTCAATTTTAAAAAATAATGTATTTAGTTATTAATGTTAATAAATATTATTGTTTTAATCACTAAAACGTTAAAAACGATGGACTTGATAATGACATTCTGTCACCATACATTGATCTAGTGACATATTCATATCAAAGTCACCAAAAGGTTAACTTGCATAATTGAGTGATAAAAAAATAATTTACTCAAAACTCTATTGTTATTAATTAATTGCTTTCAATAAAAAAATTGAGGATTATTTTTTAAGTTCCATGGGATTGGATCATTAATGCTTTTACATTTTTTATTTTACGCCTAAAACTTACATCTAAAAATTAGCTTCAACTAATGGTGAGATGGCAAGTGTCATTATTTGATTGATTAGTATTTTTTTTACATAATACTTAAAAAATCTTAAATTATTTAAATAAATTTAAATAAATTTTATTTTTATTATATTTTATTTTAATATAAATAAATTTTAATAATTAATAATTAATTAATTATTATTAATTAAAATTTATTTATCATCCTATATTACGTAATGCTGTTATTGCTCAATTTTTATGTTGGCAAAAAGGTTCAAGCTCTTTTGTGCACCTACTTCGTCGCCCAGTGGCTTTAACTGCCATGTTGGAGTGGCTAAGGCTATATCTGACCCTTCCCTACGAGCAATTGGCCATTCGACTATTGAAAAAAAAAATCTTATTTACCTTTAATTTTACACACATCAAACATGATATAAGATAAATATTATTTTTTTCTTGAAGAAAGGGATTTAAATTCATACTCTTTAAATACAAAAATCATATATTAATTAATAAATTAAATATTTCGATGTAACTATCATATTTTACTCTTAATCTTGAACACAATAAATATAAATTAAATAATTTAATTTCAATCCACTTATCTTATTTTATAATATCTTCTCCATCATCCTATCTATCAGACACATCCATATAAATACAAAGTAGGAGAATAACTTATCCTTTTCGCTTCCAAATGAATATGCTTTCGGACAATTTCACTGCTGAGATATGCCAAGGTTTTGATAAATAATTCCTTAGTTGACAAGCAGTCAGATTAATGCTTTTCAGCCTTCCCTTCCAGGAAAACAGAGCGGTTTTGATTCCAAAACTCCGGGCTTAATTGTATTTTTTAAGGGAAAACCGCGTGCGCGTTTCACGTTTATTATATAAAGCCAACTTTCCTGAAAGGTCAGTGACGCAAAATCTTGAAAACCATTGGCTTTTCCGTTTTCAACACCCAAAACCACTGGTAGCTGGTAAGTGGTGACAGCCACAGCCTTCAGTTTTCCCAGCATCAACCCCTATATAAGAGAGCGTCTTTGTCTTGTTTCATCAGAAAAGCAATATCACTTCTATTCTCATCCACAAAGACAAAAAAAAAAGTCTTTGCAAGGTTAAACATGAGTTCAACAAGCAGAGCTTGGGTAGCAGCCAGTATCGCAGCAGTGGAAGCCTTAAAAGATCAAGGGTTTTGCAGATGGAACTACACCATGAGATCACTGCACCACCATGCCAAGAATCATGTTAGGTCGATTTCTCAGACCAAGAAGCTGTCTTCTTCATCATCTGTAATGGTTTCAAGCAAAGGAATAGATGAGAAGACGCAGCAAGCAGAGGAATCCTTAAGGAAAGTCATGTACCTGAGCTGTTGGGGTCCCAATTGAACAAATCAAAAGCAAATGGTAGACCGAAGAGCTGGTTTCTGAGTGCTCCTGATGAGAAATTTGTCGCATGAAAAAGTTTCTTCCTCAGATGGATTTGCTCTCGGGAGATTTTGGAGCCTATTTGCTTATTCCTACAACTAAATATGAGAGATATTTATATACGATTGTTTCAAAATAATGTAAATTGTATATATAGTCTAATTCCATATCAAAGTTGCTTTCTGAGATGCAATTTTGGGATAATCACTTCTGCTCTCAACATTGTTTCTCTGTTCTCTCTCTCTCTGAATGATTGAACTTTATTTTTCCATTTTCTTTTCTTTTCCCTTGACAATCTAAGGAATAGCAAAATTCGATTGATGCAAGAACTTATATAGTTCATCCTTTCACACAGTAGAACTGGCCTTCACAATTAGCAAATGAATATCTATATAATTTCTCTTCAGTTTGATCAATTTCAGTGGACATTGACCCAAAATGAAACTTGATTGCTGATTTCATTTCAACTAGCAAATGAAACACTACCGTTAAGAGCAATGGTACGATAACAAAATTGTTCAATCCAATTGATCTTTGCCATCTTATATTTTGATAGGCATAACCCTGATACTCGTTTTAAACAATTAAGTTATAAAAGAAAAAAAAATAAGCTTACTAACTAAAATCATCCCTTTTTCTTACTTGTGTAGACCTTGTAAATACAGGACTAGAAAAACGGGAATATCAAACAAGGTTTCAAGAGGTGGTGTGTTAGATATCATTTTCCTTACAATATATTTGGATAGATGTCAGTAAAGAAATAGAAAAGAAAAGGAAAGGATCAAACGTCTCCCTTGTTTGGATAAGCTATATTGATTAATGGAAAGGAAGGGGAGGGAATCTTAATATCCATATGTTTGGTTAAAGAGTGGAAAGTAAAGGGGAGGATGCGTTATAATTTTCTTTTTCCAATTATGACTTTCTTTTGATAAAATAACAATATAAACATTACACATCACATTGCAAAAAGAAAACATTATTATATTGCCATCTTCACTTGGTGCAAAACTCTTCAACGTATAGTTGTTTTGCACACACATCTTATTGTTCTCGAATAAGTCTATCACGCTTTATAATCTTCAAGTACATTAATTTCAAAAATTATGGTCACAATTTTTAGAAATATCAACACATGATGAAGCCTTTTTTTTTTCCCAACAATCAACATTCTTTCCTAAAATGTCATATGAAAGCATGTGCCTTTCTTTTTCTTTTTTGAATATAGGCACATTAGCAATTTAGTTGAAATTTTTTTGGTAAATTTAATGGTCTGTCCTTCCTACATGATATGCACACTGGCTTCACCAGAACTAGAATTTTGATCTTACTTTCTATATTTCTCTTCAACTTGAAGATGATTATCCAAAGTTTTTAAAGTAATTTCCTATTTTTTATGTTTAAACTTTTTTTAAAATTTTCAATGACAGAGAAAGTTTATCTATAACAATAGTACAATAATACTTTTATTCATATTCGTTTTATGTTATCTATAACAATAATACAATAATACTTTTATTCATATTCATTTTATGTTACTTAAACTGATTAAACGTTCTTTCAAATTTATGCAATTATTCAATGATAGATCTTTCGACAACCTTTTGATAATTATTGAAATAATTGAAAAGAAAATTCTTAGTAGTT